TGGGCAAGCTTCCCGGGCAAGAGGGGAGGCAGGAGGCTGGCACCCCTCCTCGTACCACACTTGGGAAGGCGGTCTGTCCCTCCGCCGTGCTCCCAGGGAAGGGGGAAGGGCCATTCCCCAGAGGCCTGAGGAAGACAGTGGGTCAGTGGCCCTGTCCCGTAAGGGCTCCGGGCCTGTGACTCTCCTCCTCGGTCAGCACCCCTGGGCCTCCTCTGGTCCCAGAGCCAGGAGTGGGAGGAAAGGTCTCACCTCATCATCAGCTGAGCACAGCCCCCACCCACTCATGAGCAGAGCACTGCCCTCTAGGCCCCCACACCCACTTGGGGTGAGTCAGCCATGGGCTGGGGGCACTGCCTGGCTTGGCACTCAGCCCACAGAGAAAGGCACACCCTCACTTCCCGGGAAAGGAAGAGGGGACACAGTCAGGGCAGGAGGCGGAAGGCACAAGTTTTGTTTCCAAACTGCTCTCACATTTGGGCTGGGCCTCCCAAACAGGTCTGTCCTCTTGCGATCTTGCCAGGCTGTGGCCTACCTTTCGGGGTGAAGGGTAACCAGTGAGGGACACCCACCGGGGGCTCCCAAGCCAAGCCCATGGAGCAGCAGGCCAGGCTGGAAGCCCGAGCTGCCCCCTCACCCCACCAGGCTGGCTTTGGAGCCCCCGGCTACTGAGACAGACGACGCGCCAACACTGTGCCCACTGCTTCCTGGCTCCCCGTCATTTCACTTGTGGGTGACCTTGGGAAAGTCACCAACTTTCCCTCCCAGGGCTCTGGTTTCCTCATCTGTAAAATGGTTCATGACTTTATAGCAAGGACTGAATGACAGTCCGTGGATAGCTCTGGCCCAGCGCCCGCCGCGTAGTTAAGACTACAGTGTTAGCTGCTGTCACTGTCTTGCCAGGTTTCACCGGTGTCTTTACTGAGGAGATATTAAGTGACCCACCCAAGGCCACAGAGCCAGGAGGTGGTGGGACAGAGCCCCACAGGGCTGACTTTCTGTGACGTCAATCTGCCTCAAAGGCAAGCAGGCCTCCCGAGCCCTCCCTGCACACCCAGAACCCCGGAAATGCTTCCTAGAACAAGACCCCCTTTTCCTGAGGGGCACAAGGAACCAAGCGGTCTGCAGGGAACCCCAGCAGAACACACGCAGATGCCTCTGGTGTCGCAGGGATAGCTCGAAGGAAACTCTAGAAGGGAGCCCCACTCTGCCAGGTCTGGGCCCATGGGGACAGAGGGGCTTCAGTCGGCTACGAGCACCAGCACCACGTGCCAGGACCGGCTACGGAATGGCAGGCTGGAGCACCCACGGGAGGCTGCAGACACATCTGTGAGACCCCAGGGGACCGGGACTGAGGCCAACCTAAGTTGTCTGTGGCCCGGCTCTCCGGGCTGGAGGGGGGCTGCCCCCCAGAGATCGAGACTCAGGGAGCCGGAGAGAGGGGGGAAGGGCAGGATCCCCGTGTGCCCAGCCCCTGCTCAGCACACCTGTCAACAGCCCACCCTGTCAGAGGGCGAGTTTGGCCACAGCACCTCTGAAGGTGTCTGGGAATTCTAGAGCCACTTTCCTTCCGGGGGAACATTGCTCCCGGCAGGCTGAATGGCAGCAGTCCATTTAATTTTGAGGTTTCCGGCCCTCAAGAGACAGTTAAACATAGAACTTGCTACGAGATGCAGTAGGAACGCACTGGGAAAGACAGCAGGGGACGTTTGTGGCTGGGAGTAAGAGCCATTCTGGAAACCTCGGTCCCACACATCCTTGAAGAGGGATGGTGAACCCCCCTGCACATACTGGGGAGTCACTAGAACCCCCAGTCCTGAGGGGAGCTTGGCCCTGCCTCTACACCAAGGGCCAATCAGAGGCCGGGACCAGGGCTGAACGCGTCGCCCTGCGCGGCATCTGCAGCCCGCCAGCCTCACGCCGGCCTGGCAGTGTCCTCAAAATGCAGATTCCTGCCCCCCATCCCATCCCCAGGTCAGACTCTGCAGGTGTTTGCTGGGCGGGGGGTGAAGGCGGTCCCGGGGAACCCAGCACTGAAAGCAAGCCCCTGGGCAGCTCGGAAGTGCCCCAGAGCCTAAGAACCTGGAGAAGAAAAGCGGAAGGTGGGGTACAAAGAGCCCAGGCTGCCAAGGCAAACATCTGGGTTCAAGTCCCAGCTTTGCCACCCATGCAAGAGCTCTCGTCCCTCCGAACCTTGGCCTTGAACCTGCAAAAATGGTGGAACCACATCACAGGGGAGGGCTGCTATGTCTATGCGGTGACCCGGCGCACTGCCCTCCTGGTGCTCAGACCTCGGCCTCGGAGGACGACCGGGGACATGAAGGCCCTGCTACTAGGAGGAGGGAGAAGGCGGAGAGGCCAACTCCTGGGGTCAGAAGTGACTCCAACGAGAAGAAAAAGAGACTGCAGGGAAAGAACAGGAAGAAACACAGGGGAGGAAGACAGGCCAGTGAGCCTGACGAGCCCACCAGGGACGGACCCTACCAGACCACAAAGCAGGCGGCCAGACCTGAAACCCCTCCTGTCCCTACAGAGTGTCTTTCGACCCAGGTCACAGGGCAGCCCTCTCCCCACCTGCCCACCCTCCAGGTTACAACCCGAAAGGGGGAGCGCCTGGGTGGCTCAGTCGGTGAAGCTTCTGCCTTCAGCTCAGGTCATGATCCTGGGGTCCTGGGATCGAGCCCCATGTCAGGCTCCCTGCTCATCAAGGAATCAGCTTCTCCCTCTCTCTCAGCTTCTCCCTCCTCCTGCTCATGCTCTCACTGTCTCTCTCAATGAATAAATTAAAAAAAAAAAAAAAAAAAACCCAACCTGAAAGGAGAGGGGTGCACCTGGCTGGCTCAGTTGGTGGTGTGACACCTGATCTTGGGGTTGTGAGTCTGAGACCCATGCTGGATGTAGGATTACTTAAAAATGAAATCTTAAGGGGCACCTGGGTAGCTCAGTAGTTGAGCATCTGCCTTCGGTTCAGGTCATGATCTCAGGGTCCTGGGATCGAGCCCCGCAGGGAGCCCGCTTCTCCCTCTCCCACCCGCCCTGCTCACGTTCCCTCTCTCACTCTCTCTCTCTGTCAAATAAATAAAATCTTTAAAGAAAAAAACACAAAAATCCAAAACCTGAAAAGAGCACTCTGAAGGGACCAAGACTTCCCCAGGGCACTGCCGGGGTAAATGAGTCCGAGCCACACTCAGACAACACGGCAACTCGTGCATGTCCCTCCCAACCCCCAACCTGGCCACTGCCCCAGGCGGACAGCAGAGACTAAAACCTCCCAGGCCTGCCCATGCTGTTGCCTCCACGCTGTCCCTGGCACGGAGGAGGAATTCTGATCTCAGATAAGTAGGACCTGCTGCTTCCTGCTCATCCCTGGCCAGAGAGACCTCAGCTCAGGCCTCCCCTCTCCTCTCCAGGAGGCAAAGCTCCTCAAAACCAAAAGGAAACTCCAGCAGGGCAGGGCTGGGGTTTGCTGACCTTGTCCCAATAAACAGGAGAGTCAACAAAATCACACAACAGGCGTTTCCTAACCCCCCTGTGCTGCTGCTGTAAATGCCCTCACACACGGCTCTGAACCCCAGGGTGGCGAAGAGGGGAGCAACAGGGCCGTGCCGATGGGACTCACACGCAGATCCACGCTTGCCTGGGAAAGAGGTCCTGGCAGGGGGTGGGGGGGTGCCGGGGGGGGGAATGAAATGGGGGCAAACCGCGAAGCAACAGCTCTACCGACACTTGACGTGGGAAAGGTAAGCAAACAGTAATGATACATGTGGAACAGCGCACTCCTCCCCGTCTATATCTCTGGGGATGGGGATCACAGGAGACTTTCGCTTTCCATGACATCAAAATCAAAACATTACAAAAACATAACAGTGAACGCGCAACTATGTTGGTAATTACCCCCCCTCCCAAAAAAGATTCTTATTTCTCTTAAAATCCACGCTAGAGAGGGCCAGGTCTTCCTTAACCAAAAGCCAAGGGGACAGGTGGCTGCAGGGAGGCCTCGGGCGCACAGCAAAGGACCCCGACCTGGGATTCTGGGATCTGGCTCCAGCCCCACATCCCTCCTTCCTTCCTGAACTCTTGGGCAAGCGGCTTCCCCCCTCTGAACCTCAGTTTCCACAACTGTAAACAAGGGACAAAGGCCACTGCCTGAACGTCCTCAAATGGCCAGAAAAAATCACCAATAACGGTGGTTTTATAAATTATAAAATGGGCCACCCAATGCCGCTCGGCCTACGGAACAGTCCCGGGACGGACATACTCTAAGTGCCTTCCCTCTATCAACACATTTAATCTTGAAAATACCCTACGGGGAGGTAAGGTGCTAAAATTATGGCCGCTTTATAGCTCAGGAAACTGAGGCTCAGAGAGGCAGGGTGACTGGCCCCCCATCACTCACTGAACACATGACAGAGAAGATTCAAACCCATGTCTGACCACGAAGTCTGGGTCTTTAACCAGGGCACTCTCCTGCCTTTGGGAACTGGTTTCCAAAGTGCAGGTCTAGGAACCCTGGTCCCCAAAGGGGTCCACGTGATCAAATAAGTGTGGGGACACACAGCGCGCCGGCTCCCTCTCTGAGGAGGTCAAGCTCACTCCGCACAGTCAAGGCTAAGAAGTCCCGCAGTGGGGACAACCTGTTTCCCAGGGTTATCAAACCACCATGACCACAGAAACTGGTGTTCCACGCAACACACTTCGGAAGACGTGGTCACAAGATGGTCTGGTTAACAGCCCAGACTGACAAGATCTGCGCCGAGAGAAAAGAACTGAGGTTCACAATGAGACTTAACACGGGCATCTGAAGTCCAGCAGCCGCACCTTCCCCCGCCAGCCGCTGAGTCGGGAGAAGGAAGCAGCGTGCTGTCTCCTGCCGCCTTTGCCCTGGATGCCCTGGGTAAGGAGAGCAAAGGACCGCAGAGATGGAGAGAGCGCCCTTTGTCCCCTAAGCTGGGGAAGACACCTGACTCAGGGCTGGCCTGGAGGGAGAGGGGCCCCATCCTTACCCCGTGGACGACTCTGCTATCTGCGTGCTGGCTGCCGGTGCTGAGGCTGGCCCACGTCTGTCTGGGCAGGGTCTTGGCATTCCTCTCGCTCCATGGAAGCAGCCTCCCTATGAGAAGTAAGAGCTTCCGTCAGCGTTCCCTGCTGTGCTGCCAACGTTCCCTGAGCGCTTGCTCGGTGCCAGGCCCACGGCTGAGCTCCTGGGGTGACAAGAGGGAACCAGACAGGCTACTGGGAGATGCCAAGTTACCGTTACAGTTGGCTTTGGGGAGCCCAGGGCTCTGCTGGGGGCACCGGGCAGCGAGGGGAACGTGGAGGAAGCACTAGACCGAGACCGGGGAGTTGGGGTGGGCAGGCCTCCCTGGACAAGGTGTTGCCCGAACTGACTCTTGAGGAAGAGCAGAAGCGGGAGAAAAAACATCCCAGGCAGAAGTAACAGCACAAGTTTGCCCAGAAGGGAGAGAACATGACATCTAGACAGTGCTGAGTGGTTCAGTCTGCGTAGATCTCGGACCGGAGGAGAAAGGTGGCGAGACAGGAGCCACAGGGGGGCGAGTTGAGTTCAGGCGAAGACACAGCCTCAGCCCAGACACACGAGTTCAACTCAAACACAAATTCCAGCTGGCACCTATGAGTCAGGGAGCATTTAGTAAGCAACTACTACACCCCAGGCACTGCTCAGAACCATTCACAAAACTGAAAAGGCCAAGTCAGCAGGGTGAGGTGGGAAGTTATGATCAGACCACAGTAGGGGTTGGGGGCAGGGAGTGTCTAAACCACTAGGAGTCGGGATGGCGGCTCAGCCACCAAGAAAGGCCAAAGGATAAGCAGGAGTTGAGAGGAAGGAGGGAGTGCGGGTGGGGAGTGCACGGGCGGACAAAGGGAACTGAATGGCTCTGGGAGGGACTGTGGAGCCTTTAACCACGTGTACCAGTGAGCACCTCACGCACCCACTCCATGCCAGGCACCGTGCTGGGAGGAAAGAAGCAGAAGACAGTACTCAGCCTGGAGGAGAGATAGGTCATTTACCCAGCAAACCCACACAGGGTGACGGCAGCCAGCAGAGAAGTACCTAGAGTTAGCTGTAAAGGCACAGAGGCCTCTAAGCCAGACTCTACCCCCACCCCGTGCTCCTCAAGGACAGGGTCCCCGCTGAGGCTGGACAGCCCAGTCACCTGCCCATGGCACAGCCTGAACCAGAACTCAGGCCTTGGGACTCCCGGTCACTGATTCTTCTAGTCCTCCCTCTTCCGGGAAATACACGCTGACCACCGCCAACATATTCACCCAGAGCTAATGCCTCCTTCCTCTGTAATATTTCTATTATTATGCTGGCCACGGTGTCAATGCTTTCCTGCCTGCCTCTCCTCCCAGACCGCAGCTCAGGCGGCCAGGAACTGTGTTCTCTAGCATCATTCTTGGTCCGGGCCAGGTACTTACTAAAGAATGGCTAAATGGATGAATGAACGAATGAATGATTGAAGGATCAAGGATGGAGAGACGGTGTGCTGGGCTCTAGGACCCTACACCCATCCCACCTGACTCCTCATGAGGTCTTAGACCATCACCCTGTGCCTCAGTGTCCTCATGTGAAAATCCGGAATCGCCTCCACTCTCAGGAGAGGGAGTCAGGAACCCAGGTGATCTCTTCCCTTCAGCTCCTACAGGTGAGGTCCAGGCCAAGCCAGGCAGCAACCCAAGGCCCAGCCACTTCCCCAAGTTCTGACCCAATGGGGCAATCCTCAGGAGTCCCCTCTGTCCAGAAAGGCCACTTGAAGTTTGCAAAGGAAACTGCTTCCTAGTGGGTGTGCCCGCAGAATGGAGTACAAAAATACAGCATTGAGTTGGGGGGGAGGGGAGTCACAAACATTTCTTGGGCCCCTGCTCTGTATCCTGGAAGGCAGAGAGACATTAGACCAGACCCCAAAGCACCTCTAAGACTGGGAAGACAGGAAGGCAGAGGCCCGCCATTCATGCCCCAGTTTCTCTCCAGTACTTCAGCACAAGCCATCTGTCCTTGCCTCCCCTCACAAGCCAGAGAAAGACTTGACCTTCATGAAGGCAATGCCAGTGTGACTGAGCGACGGGCACTGCCCAGCCCTCTGAACGAACTCCCACTCCCCCATCCGCTCTGCAGGAAATATCACCAGCAACAGACCACCTCCTCCTCCTCCTGCCCACAGTCTGTCTGTCTGCCGATCTGTCTGCTCAAAGAGGTTAAAGAAACTCCTAATGGAAAAGATGAGTGAGGCCCATGGGAACCTTTCAGCTCCACCAAATCCCTCCTCCACAATTTAGGCCCAAATTCCCTTTCCCTCAAAAGCTCTCTCTCTCCTCACCCGCACACCTCATCCTCCAAAGGCTTCCTGGGATAGAGCCGGGGAAGAAGCATCAGGCCAGCGTGCTCAGCCCCACCCTTCCAGTCAAGTCCTAATCAAGAGTGTCGGACACCCCCCAACCATATCTCCTCCTTCCCAAAAAAGGCAGTCCCTAGTTGCATCAGCTGAGCACCAGCCCAGTCTTGGTTCACTCCAGTCCAGACCAAGGGGAAAAAGCAATCAACAAAAGAAGCAGAATCATCGTGAACCCCAAACACCCTGGCTACGCTCCTTCAGCCTGGGAACTAACTTTGCTGGATCTCCAGTCCGGACCTCATCAGATCTGGCTCTTGGGCCCATACGGATGCACAGGACATGGGCAGGGCCTCAGACCCTGAACCGGTCCCCCCGGGGAACCCCCAGTGCGGACGAGCCCCAAGATCTTAGCTAGGGATCCTGCCCCCAAGTCAGGGCACGGTTCCCGCCGGATCAAGAGGAGGGAGGGGTCCGAGGGAAGTGGAGGGGGCCAGGAGCCCAGGAAAAGAGAACAGGGGAAACCTTTAAAAACGGGGGAAAAAAAAAAAAAAAGCTGCCAAGGAGAGGTTTCAAGGTGGAACCTCTACGAAGTGGGGAGCGTGTGCGTGTAGGAGTTAGGATCTGGGGGAACCTAGGGGATGACAAGGGGACCTGGGGGAGCCCAGGCGGAAACTCCCGGTATGTAGAGCGCAGGGAGGCACTGGGGTGCCTGGGAGGGGGCTCGCGCGCCGCGGCGCCGGGGGGGGGTGGGGCCCCGGAGACCCGGAGTACCGGGGAGCCAGGAGGTAGGCCGAACTGAGCTGCGGCGGGAGGCCCCCAGGGAGCCAGCCGCGGCTGGCAGAGCCCGAGCTGCCCGAAGCGCCCAGAGCCCGGCAGCTGGCCGGGGGCGTGCAGGAGTGGGTTTCGAGAAGTGACAGCTCGTGCCCCTTTCCCCGCCCCACCCACTCACCTGGTCCCGCCCGGTCCGGCCGCCCAGTACGCAGCCCCGCGCCCCCGCCGCTCTGTCCCGCCGCCGGCCGCTGCGCCCCTCCGGCGCCTCCTTTTGTTTGTCCCTCACTGCACCACTCAGCCTCCTCCGCCCCGGAAGTGACGTCACCACAGGCGCGAGCGCGGCGCCTAGGGCGTCGCCATCTTTTTGATGGGAACTCTCTTCGCGCCCTCTTACCTTGAGCCCCCAGGTGGCGCCATGTTTGTTTGGGGCGGAAGTAGCGGAGACCGGGCTCGGCCCCCTTAAAGGCACGTGGACACCTGTAACCTTCCGGGCGCGCTGGGGGACGAAGCGGTGAAGCCGCCGAGGCGGGGGTGAGTAGCTGGTGCCTGCGCTTTCCTGCCCCAAGGCCGGGTGCCGAGGCCGGAGGACCTGGTAACCGGTTCCAAGCTCGTTTGTGCCAGAATACTCGCTGCGTTTGATGCTGCTGGTACGGTGGAGTGGCGGCGCCGAAATCTTAACCCAGCCAGGAACCGCCCCTGGGGATAAATTGCGCGCGCTTGACGCTGACCCGCGCTCGGACGCTGGGACCCGCGCAGGCTGTCCTCTCTGCACCCACCTCCCGCATCCCCCGCGGTGATGTCTGTGGGGAGGAAGAAGCCCAAGGTAGCTTGGCCATTTATGGGCAGAACTGGGGCTGGCACCGGGACACCGCTCCGTGGGGCCGGAGTCCTCGCGGTTCCCACACTGACAATAGTAACGCCCGCCACGCTAGGAAATAATCCATACCATGGAATGCTGTGCAGCCATTAAAACGAAAAATGTTCTATATGCACTAACATGGAACGACTTCCAAGATACCTTAGATGAAAAAAAAAAAGGAAGGGGCAAAAAGACTTGCGTTGATCGGCGCTACAGTTTGTGGGAAAAAACGTGTGTGTGAGAGTGTGCGTGTCTGGGGGGTGCGCACCAGCCGTCTGGTAAGAAAGGGTTAACTGTGGTAGCCTCGGACAGGGGAACTGGAGTCCTCGGTACCCGGGCAAGGGGGGAGAATTTATTTTTTAAATAAGATGATGAAGATATAAGGGCTCATATCCATCAAGCCTTGAGCCAGTGCCTGGGTTCAGCCCTCCTGCTGGAAGGTCTGATTTTCCCCTGTCGTTAGAGGCGGGAATATGGCTGCGAGATTAGGGATTTAATACCTCCCCGCCTGGAAGCGGAGAAACTGGAATTTGAGCCCCTGAGGGTTTTAAGCTAATGGCTAGGATCTCCTTATCCCACTTCCCACTGAGAATCTTTTTTTTGTTATTAACCACATGACAACCAGTGTGGGGTCTGGCAGGCAGCTCTATCCAAGTAACTGTTTATTGGCTGTTTACTGACTGAACAGGTACAACGGACTGGAGACAGTGGCAAGTGTAGAATGAAGAGAGGGACATTAGAGGCCAGAGCACAGACTAGAGTTAAAGGCCTGCCCCCTTTGCTCCTGGAGACTGTGAACGTGGCACATCCCTCCCCGAGCCTCCCTGTCCACACCTTTACATCTAACCAGTGCGACCACAATGCCACCAGTGCCCCACCTGTCCTACCTAGGGCTTTACGTGCAGATGAGCCCCATTTTACAGATCGGTAAAGGAAACACAGAGAAATTAAGAGAGTTGCCCAAGGGGCAGCGCCCCCACTAACAGAGAGATTGCTGGGCTTCTGGGTCCCCCCTCAGCCTCCAGGGATCGTCCACACTAATGCTTTGGGGAGACCTCCAGTCCTAGTTGAGCTGCCAGAAGCTGAGGATCTGGTGGAGAACAGGACAGACACACAGCGCCTGTTTCTGAAGTCTAGTGAGGATGACAGACAACCCAGCACTTAGCATCTGTGAGGAGCCCTATGGTGGGCAGCAGCTCAGGCCTTGGGAGCACAATGCCAGAAACATCTGACTCAGCCTGGGTGGAGAAAGAGAGGGCTTCTCAAAGTAGGTAACTTTAAAAAAGAAAAAAAGAAAGAATTTATTTATTTGAGAAAGAGAGTGAGAGAACACAAGTTGGGCAGGCGGGGGAGGGGGGGGGGGAAAGGGGCAGATGCAGAGGGAGAAGCAGACTCCCCGTGAGCAAGGAGCCCCCGATGCGGGACTCTATGCAGGATTCCAGGATCATGACCTGAGCCGAAGGCAGATGCCCAACCGACTGAGCCAACCCAGGTGCCCCTCAAAATAGGTAACTTTTAATCTGTGTCTGAAAAACGCGTAGGGTACCTGGAAGGCAGAATGATGAGGCTGGAGATCCAAGTAGAGGCGTGCTCATACCTGAAGGTAACTGACCTGATCAGAGACCATGCAGGTTAGAAAGATTCAGTCAAACATCTGCATGAATCCATCTTTCCTCCTGGAGAATGCCTTCCCATGCCAACCTCTGTGGATTTCCACCCTCTATCCACACTTAACTCCTGTGCATATGCCAGAGTAGGACTTCCCGATTTTAGAATCCAGGTGGGGGCGACAAAGGAACACAGGAGAGTTGATAACAAGGAAGAGTTTCTCTATGGACACGCCCACCTCCCACCTGGACTCCCCCACCCCTAGATTCCTCCCCACTCTTGATTGGCAGCCAGCTGGCTAAAGCAGGAACTCTGCCCTTACAAATCCAGGTGTTAGTACTGGAAGTTTCTGTCTTTCGGGCTGTTTACGGTTACTCGGGTTCTCAGGTTGCCAGTGCCCTGGGACATCCAGTTGGACATGGCCCCTCCCCGCCCCAGTTCTGTGGCCAGCAGGTCAAAGTCGCTCCAGCTACAGTGGAAGAGAAATCACTGCCAGTCCTGTGCCAACACACGGTGGGGCCACTGCACTGTCAGCTCCTTGAAAAAATACAGGCAAACGCTCATCCTACTTCCTCATTCCTGGGTCATGGTATAAGCTTTGGAATTGCGGCTAAGGTCTTTCGGTGCTTTTCCGGGACTTTGACTTTGGGTAAGTCATTTCCCTACTCTGAGCCTTAGTCTCTGTAAAACTGATATGACTCTATTTAATGTTCTTGCCAGACATGAAGTATGTAAATGTAGATCTGTTTTTCCCCCATGTGTAAAACTGCCTTAGCACGAGATCTCAATTTTGGATCTCGATCCTGTGCCAGGAGAATAAAGAGGGGGCTACCTACTGCGTGTCTCACTCAGGGTCTCCACTCACCACCCCCTCCCCCAGCAGCCCGGAAACCTGCAGTCTGGGCTCCAGAAGTCATTTCTCTCTGCTTTGCCTTTGACTTTGATTCCAAAGTCAGGGGAAATGAGGTGTAGGTCACTGTGCTTACTAGATCCCTCCAAACAAGTTGTCGCCTCCCTTGGGGCAGAACCATCAGCACAACAGGTTTTTGTGTTTTTTTAAAAGATTCCATTTATTTATTTGATGGACAGAGATCACAAGTAGGCAGAGAGGCGGGCGGGGGGGTGGGGGGTGGGTGGCTGGGAAGCAGGCTCCCCGCTGAGCAGAGAGCCCCATGATGCAGGGCTCAATCCCAGGACCCTGGGATCATGACCCGAGCTGAAGGCAAAGGGTTAACCCACTGAGCCACCCTGGTGCCCCAACTCAACAGGTTTTCACAAAATCTTTGGCTTGTAGGAACTCTGGTTTTAGACTGAGAAAAGAAAGAGAGGGAAAAAGAGAAGAGAAAGAAAAGAAAAATCAGGACTCATTATCTGGCAAGAAACTTTCCTATATAGGTTTAAATCTTAACAGCTTTTTTTTTTTTTTTTTTTAAAGATTATTTATTTATTTATTTATTTGAGAGAGAGAACAGGCAAAAACAGAGGGGAGGGGTGGAGGGAGAGGGAAAAGCAGACTCCCGGATGAGCAGAGACCGGGGCTGACCCCAGAACGCTGGGATTGCAGCCTGAGCTGAAGGCAGCCCCTCAGTTGAGCTGCCCAGGCACCCTGTGTTAACAGCTTCTTCTGCACAGGTTCCCACAGGCCAGGACCTGTGCTGAGCGCTTTCTGTGAATGGCTGCTTTATTGTTATCCCCTTGGACAGACAAGAAAACTGAGCCTAGAGAGCTTGCGGTGTGGCGTGACCAAGGCTCCACAGCGGTTCAGAGTGGAGCTTGGGACCATTCTATCCACGCCCAAGCTTTCATTTTCTGGGATTGTTCGTGTAACAAGCTGCCCCTCCCTGGGCCCCATCTCCAGAGCACTGTGGTTTGTGTCTTCTCAGTAACTGGGGCACCTCACATTTTGAGCCCAGGGGATGCTAAACATCCTTCCAGACACCGGAGAGATCTGCCCCGTGGAGGACTGACTCACCCCAAATACCAGGTGTGCCCCTTTTGCGAAACACGGAAACCAGATTTCCATATTGCATGGAATTGGCTTTGGGGGCTTGGGGCTAGGCGTCACAGCCGGCCCGAAGAGGCAAGGCTCCAGCCCCCGAGGGCTGCTGGTCTGTTGGCAGGGGAGCTAATGGAGGCGGCAGCATCCACCTCCTGAAAGAGGGGTGTTTGGGGAAAGCCTTTGGACGACTGAAAACAGCAAACCAGGATTCAAATCGCAGCTCAGGCTCTCAGCTCAGTGGGCTTTGTTCTCTGAGCAAAATAGGGATGATAATTCCTTCCTAGAAGGTTGTTTTGAAGATTAGGGAATTTAGCACAGTCGTCAGATGTATAGTGGGGGTCCCTCTTAGTTCAGAGGAAGGCCCGGGTGGACACAGAGGCAGAGAGGAGGCAGAGCTGGGACTGGGCCCTGCTAGGGATATAGGACTGGGGGTTAGGGGTATGCCAGGCAGGGGCACAGATGTCTATCTGGCTCAGCTGGTAGAACGTCCAACTCTTGATCTCAGGGTGATGAGTTCAAGCCCTACATTGGGCGTGGAGCCTACTTAAAAAATAAGGAAAGGAGGGGCGCCTGGGTGACTCAGTGGGTTAAAGACTCTGCCTTCAGCTCAGGTCATGATCTCGAGGTCCTGGAATGGAGCCCCGCATCGGGCTCTCTGCTCAGCAGGGAGCCTGTTTCCCCCTTCTCTCTCTGCCTGCCTCTCTGCCTACTTGTGATCTCTCTCTCTCTGTCAAATAAA